CCAAGTTATATATGGACACAACAAATAAATACAATACAATGCAAACAAATAGATACATACATAAAAAGGAAAACAAAAACTTTACAGTCCAAGGCTTTTTTTTCTTTTATTTTGTGTATTTTACCTGTGCTTGTTAAACATAGTTCCCATATAATTATGTAACATATAATTACATATAGTAAATACATTTTTTTTTAAATATTTTAAATATAAATATAACTACATTTAAAATAGAGCAAATAAATAAATTAAGTTTCCCTTGATTTATGTACTAATTAACGATTCTGGTTTGTTTCTTTTCTGGCATCGAGGCAGATAAATGCAATAATTAATTCTATACATGTTTGTGACACTCTACTATAAGACTAACCTTTTCTGATTTTCAGAGAGTGAAATAATGCTGTTGAAAAGACAACTGCTCTTGAACTAAATGTTTGCTATGAAATACAGTTAAATCTCTGTTAACTGTGAGTTAACATTTCTAACTAAATGGTTAACTTAAATTTCTAGCTGGGAACATTCCAAACTGTTAGCTTTCATCGCTAGCTGGGTACATGTCAAACTCTAATGGCTAACTTTTCTAGCTGGGCACATTTCAAAACAGTTATAGCTAACATTTCTAGTTGGGATCATTTCAAACGTTTAGCTTACATTTCTAACTGGGAATATTTCAAACTTTATGTGCTGTACTTGCTATGAAGAGGTTAGTTAAATGTTCATTATTTTGTGAACAGTATACAGTAACTATTTCAGTATCTAGAAAATAAAATGATGTTACATTCAGAGGTTGGTAGTAACAAGTAGCAGGTCATGCTTTTGTAGCTTTGGCCTTTAAGATGAACATATCTGACTTAGAACATAAATACCAGTTGCAGAAATCATAAATACCACACTGAAATGCAATATATAAGGTATGGCAATGCAGAGGCAATGGTGAATGCTTGCTTTTTGTAAAGCAAGAAACACAGATAAACCACACAAAACCTCTAACATTAGATATACAGAATCAACAGGTAACATTATCAAGTACAATGACAAAAAACATTTGAGACGTAAATAAAAGACGCCAGACTTGCCAGAGCGGCTGTTGTTTATAATGACTCTGTTATAGGGGTCTCTAAGTTCCCCTTCTTTCAACATCTCTTCTCGGATCACTTTGAAGCAAATACATCTGTGCAAAGGAACAAAAAAATATCTCAAGTTTGTGTTGTCAAAATCAGAAAAAAATTACCGGTACATGTACAATTTTTATTGAAAAGGACAGGTTTCAGGTTTTTCTGTGTTCTTCATAAAGTGACTTCTTTTTTTACTTTAATTATGTGCAAAGTTGCAATGAGTGATGTAAACAAGCAGAACAAATCAATCACATATTTTAACAGGATGTAAACAATCACATTTGTTTAATAATAATAAAAAAAAAAAACTTTACTGCCTTTGATTTCCATTGGATAAAATAGTCACAGTTACACATTTTGTGCAGCTAACTACGCTTTTCCCATTTTCAATGTCTTGCAGCATTACACAAGTTGTAGGCAGGAGCTCCACCCTGTTATGTACAGAATCAGGCTCAATTTTTAGCCCCATCTCCATGGTTGTCATTTTGGTTCTTGATTCTGTACATCGTCGCCCCCCACAAAGGAGCTTTGTATATGCAGATCTGAAGTCTCTGTTTAGCATAGCATAGATCACAGGGTTCAGAGCAGAGTTGGTGTACCCTAGCCAAAGCACGATAGACTGAGCTGTCCTTGGTGGGTTTTCTTCATTGCGTATTCCCATTATGGTAAAAAATGTGAAATATGGGAACCAGCATATAACAAAAGCTCCAAGAACCACTGCGAGAGTCACTGTTGCTTTGTGTTCTCGCAAGGTTAACTGTGTAACTCCTGGCATGGATGTTGAACCCCGTCGAATGGAAATAATCCGTTTCGCCTGCATCCTTGCAATCCTGAAAACTCTATGATAGCTCCAGCACATGGCCACCAGGGGGAGATAGAACGTTGCAAAGGCATCAACCACTGCATATGTCGGATTCAACTCAAATCGACAATTTCCGGCAACGTCACCCTTGCGAATATTTTGCACGCTTAAATCCTGTGTATTCCAACCCAGGTGTATGGGAACAAAAGACACACCCACAGAAACCAGCCATATTGCCGCTAAAATCACAGCAACGCGCCATGGAAGAACAAGCATTGGGTAACGAAGAGGTGCAGTGACTGCAAAGTAGCGATCCAAGCTGATTGCAAAGAGATTGAGAATGGAGGCCGTGCATAGCATTACGTCCAGAGAAATGTAGATGTTGCAGAAGTGTGCCCCAAGAGGCCAGTCTCCAGTAACTTGGTAAAGTGTGGAAAATGGTAATACAAGGGCACCCAGGAGAAAATCTGTAATAGCTAGAGAGACGATGAAGCAGTTTGTGACATTACGCAAACTACGTGTAGCATACACCGCCAGACAAACCAGAATATTGCCGCTGATGGTCACGAAGATGAGAACAGAGAGGGTCACCGCTAACGGTATCTGAGATATCATAATGTGGAGTAGATTTATTCACGTTGTCTTTTGATGATAAGCACAAAGTCTACAATAGTTGTATAGCATACAAGTGTTTGTTTCTGGAAAACCCAGATCTTTGCCAAATACAATTTATTTTTATTTCAAGCTGTTTTGTTTTTTCCATGGTTACATTCATAGGGAAACAATAGGGACCTTTTTTTTTCTTTTTCAAACAAAACACTGCATACTATAATTTGTATTGTATTTTAAAATGCAACATTTCCTTATGGTTTTGTCAGAGCAATGCAAGACGCACAGGAGTGTTTCTGCACATGTTTTTCTCATCCAGGTCATGCAAATGCTCCCTTTTCTCAACAAAAAAAGTCAAGGTTTGCTTGTGCAAGAGGTGCGGATCCTTGAATGTTCTGCTTGCTTGCATTCAATTCCTTTTCTAGGTCGAGGTGCTTTAAATGCAGTGGTAGTTTTTGTAGGTCAGCACACTGAAGGTAAGGAACCTCTGGATGTGTTTATCTCATTGTGGGTCTTCTTCTGATGGTCAATAAAGGAGCTTTTTTTAGATTGATTCCAAGAATTGCACTCCCTTGCCTTTGTATGAAGCATGTTTGCAAATTGATGAACCCATTGTCAGTTGTTCAAAACAATTAACAGAATGTGTTTCCATTGGCCTCAATTCATGGTATTAAACGTCCTTCACCCCCACATCCTTTCTTTATCATGCAGGGTTGTTATAGACTCGAGATGAAAGAGTTTGCGTTTCCGCAGGCCATTGTAAAGAATTACAGGGGTTTTCTCTTCTTCACCTATTTGAAAGAGAACAGAAATACATTTAGACACAATTATATATGTGCTTGTTGTGTATTAACTGATACTGCGCTTGTGTAATTGGATTCAACATATAAAGGCAGAGAAAGAAATGTTCCACATCGACAGGAAAACCATGCATTTGTAAATATAAACTATTTTATGTGGGAAATAAGCTTTTGATCCTTTCACAAAATATGGCTGGTTCTTGATGGCATAACCCTTTTGGAAATTACGGAGGTCAGATTTTCCTTTCTGGGAAGAATTCTGTTCCACTTCCCTCTTTAAAACCATTTCAAAAGGAAAGAGTTTCCTACCCAAATTTTCTATGAGATTGGAATCTTTTTTAGAACACCCCAGGACCGTCATGTCCTTCTTCTTGAGTCATTCTTTTGATTTATTGGCTCTGTTTTTGATGTCATTGCCATGCTTGAACACCCATCAGTCAGTTTCAATGCCTTGGTTAAAGGAAGGGGGTTTGTTGTGAGCTGGTGCAGTTCACCTGTCCTCAGAAAGAGTTTTTGGGTTCATAGGCAGCGATACACCTCCTCCAAACACACCATACTTGGTTATCACCTGATCTTTCATCGTGCTGATCTCTTCTTAATCATTAATATCTTTTTTAGGTGAAGACGGTAAATATAGGTGCTTTCCTGAGCAGAAGAACTTGGGGACACAGCAGTCCCAAGAACCATAGGAATTTTAGCTGCAGACTCTCATGGTTAACAATCCCTTTCTAAAATGCTAGGTCAACATCAAAGAGTCTTAACAGGAGCAGCTTTTGTCTGTCACTCAGGATTAGCACAAACATAACTGAAATGTAGAGCGTGAACATGTATTTTCTTGGTGAATTTTCCCAGCTGCACTGAAATCATTCGGAGATCCTCCTCGGTAGTTCTTGGCTGGTTCTTGTTGTTCTACAGGAGATCAGATCTTGTGTGGAACTGCGCAGATCTTTTGCAGCTTTTCATCAATCTGTTTGTGATTGTTTTGTAGCCCATTTCTGCAGTGTGCTGCTCTTTAACTTTCTCTGTGACTACCATAGATACATTTTGGTTACCTTTTGTCAATATGTGTAGATTTTGGATTTGATCTATTGATTGGTTTTGGGAACAGGTGTCTATTGTACAAGTAACATGACACTGATGTCAAAAATGTACCTGTATAGAAGTCACGTAGTGGTCAGAAATCTTGCTGATTGGTAGTGGTCAAAAACTTTTTTTGATGTGTAAATCAGCCAAGATTGGTCAGAAATATGCTTGTACAAGTGGTCAAGTCAAATTTAAATGAAATACATTGCACCTGAATGTTATATTCACTCTTAACAGAAATTATGTATAATCTGAAATATGCCTCAATCAACAAAGGCCAACCCTAAACACACCATGCATTCCCACCAATGCTTTGCCCGACTCTGATACAACTGAACGACAGTTAAAGTAAATATTCCAGATTTCAAATTCCTGATATTTCCTTCTTTAGCAGTAGTGCCAGTGAAATAAGCAATTTCCATTTGAATTGAAAGAGATTTAAAGTTATTATAAAAGTAAAAAGAATATGTGTTTGAATAGGAGTACCTTTAAAAAACTAGATTTTTTTCTGTTAAAATGACATACGTAAATATTTCCTTTAACAAACAAAGCCACTTTAATTTCAAGCAATTCACGCATTTAGGCAGTTCTTGCTTTCCCTGGGGTTTGAACCCATGACCTTGGTATTGCAAGCACAGTGCTCTACTGACTGACCCACAGAATAGCCAATTAGGATTCATTCAGCACACTCATATAAGATCTCAAGCGTACAGGCCAGTGGAATTGGGAACCACGAAAAAGAAACAGAATATGATGGAATATGAAGTTCAATATTACAAAGAAACAAGATGCTGTTTGTGTGTGATGTTATGCTCTAAAGCAAAAAGTTATGAATACCACATCCAACACATTATGATCAAAGGCTGAGTGGAGAAAGCCATACCTTTACACATTAGCTTTCTCCACTCTTCCCAGAAAACACACACAGACAGGTCGACTTCCTTTTTGTTTCAGCAACGAGTCTCTCAGCGGCACTTTCTCAGGCTGATTCTGATATGTCTTATAAAAAATGTATTTCACATTCAGCTTTTCCTTCCTGAAAGCCTCACAGTTCCTGTCCTTGAGTGCATGTGAAAGAGAGATGGAGGGATTGAAAAAATTAATTTCCAGCTCTTTTGAAAAGCTTGTTTTTATCAATGTCTCACTGGAGCATATAAAGTATTAAGCACGCTCTTACTCAATGGAAATCATATTATATATATTCAAGTTTACAATGTCATTATAAAGGGAAGGTCTGTGTAAATCTATGAAATGGACATTCAGTGTGGCCATTGAAGATATGTTTCTGTTTCTGTTCATTTCTTGGCTTTGATTACAATTTGTGTTGTATTGTGTTGTGTTCTGAGATTATTTTTAAGAACTTAATTCTTGAGGTAGTTCATTCTTGTAGGTCGTTAAGTAGTTAATCCTTGAGGTCCGCTCCGGAGCTGTAGTGGGTGGTTGCGCAGGCTGGACTGTCCTATCCAGCAGAAGCTCAAAAAGAAATATAAAAAAAAAACTAAAAGAGTATAACAGTTTAACACTGTTCAGAATGTAAGTGGCTTCTAAATGCATTGATTATTCACGTATGAACGTAAAGAATGTTATTTCAGATTTCCAACATACACAAACTCCTGCACTGAAGTTTATTAGCAAGAGACTACATGCTCTGTTTTTTGTAACAAGAGAGAGTGAAGCCTTTGGTTGTCAGATTGGTGACAATTCTCATGAATACGTTGCCAGAGATGCAGTAGACTCATGGATACAGTAACTACATTTAAAGTTTACATCAAAGCTGTTTATATTTGTTAGGACTTGTTTAATTGTTACTTTTGTTTTGTTCTGTCCCTAGTTTCGCCTGATTACTTGCACTCTGCCATTCCCCTTCTCGTTAGCCCTGATTGTTTGCACCTGCCTCCCCCACTGGTTTCCACTCTGCCTCGTTAATTCTCCCCTATTTAGTCCTGTCCTTTCTTTCACTTGGTGTGGGTTCATTATTTGTATCTGTGTACATGGAAAGATATTCTCTACATGCTGTGTTGCTGCAAGCCTGATTTCTGTACCTGACTGCTTAATATTGCAGTTGTATTTTTGTAAGTTTTCATTGTTTGTTCTTGTTATGAGATCCTGTTTTGTTCTTAGTTAGTTTAGCTGTTTAAGTTTAGCTAGTTAGGCTTTTCCCTACCATGGGGTTTTTCTGTTTATTTATTTTTTAATAAAGCCCATTTGTTTGACGGTGCACTTGAGTTCAGCCCTTTTTCATTATACCCTTGGGGCATGCCCCTAACAATATTTAAATGTATATTTTAATATTTTTTTGTAACTTGATTTATCGTGCTTGGTTAAGGTGACTAACAAGAAAAAAGAGGAAACAGTAAAACATATATTATTAACTTCTTTTAAAAAAATCTTTTTGTGGTCAGAAGTTTTCTAATTGTAAATAACACATTTTTGCCATCATTTTTTTAACAGGGACACAATTTTGTTATATACATGCAAAGGTTATTATCAAAATCAGCAGATACTGTGAGAAACTGTGATAAAATTGCAAAAATAAGTAAAGTAAACAAATTAGGTATTTGAACATTAATCAAGTTTATTGCTATGTGCTCACAAGTGTCCTAAAATGATTGAAATCCTTCTGTGGTTTACACAATGTTTTGATGCCCATTAAGAAATCTAACCTTAGTTTATTGCAGACTTGTTTTAAATAAACTAATTAAAAAAACAAGTTATTGCTCTTATGTGATGTAATACCCTCAGAGCTACGGTATTCGTTCACTTTGAGAACCTTTGCTTTGAAATATGTAATTAAAATTTCACCTTTTAATAATGAAAGTGTAAAAAGAGTGGCTTGATTAAATGTTGTAGGGGGCTGTATTTGGCTTCTAAGCCTTACACATGTGTAAGTGACTGATAGTCAGGTGGTTTTTAAATGCCTTGACTTTTAAAGTGATTTTTTTCATATGAAAAGGTAGTTGTCACACTGCAGGGAAGACTGTGTCAGAAGAATTCAAGCTGAACACACCCAGTAAAACAGAGGGTACTGTTCTTTAAAACAAGCAGATACACTCATATAAACAAACCCGTGTCATGTATTAGATCTTTTACTGGAACCAGACTATTTATCTAACAAAGTAGGAGGGCATTTGAGTGAGGCTGTGGAGTTTTGATGGGTTCTAAATCCAGGAGTGAGCAAACTGGAAAAGTCATGGAGGCAACTGAAGCTTATTGTGGAATTTGGAAGGGTAAACAAAGCCAAGATGAACAGAAGGATCAATGGAGGTAAATATCCTCAGGTAAGTAGTTCTCCAAGGAGATTGCTGTAGTCATGGAGAGAGTCAGGGAGCAGTAGACCAGACAAGGGATGAATGGATCAGGTGTATTGGTTAAAGAGGGTGTGATTGAGACTCAAATGATGGTGATTAGCTACAAGGCAAACAAGTTGAGTATTCTCAAGTGTGTTGAGTCACTGATTAGGAATGTAGACAATAAGGAAAGAACACATGGGAGCAAGAACAAATGAGGAAGACCTGGAGGTAAAAACATCTTTCTCTTCCTAGAGAGTAGTTTGTTCTATATTTTAAATGGTAACTTTATGCTAGAAAGCATAGTTCTGAGCCACTAAATCACGTTGTCTATTTCACTCTGACAGCACTATTGTATGATATGTATGATTGAGGGAATTATATCTTTTTAAATCGACAAGTAAGATAATATAATAGTAGTATTGATGTAATATATTATCCTTTAAAAGGAACAGTTGGTGGTTTTTAAAAAAATGCTTTCCAACCCGATATTCCGAGGGATTGGAACTCAAACGAGATGAACATCTAAACCCATTACTCCATTTGTTTCAAGCTCACAAAGTATGTCAGAGTATCTGTGTAAATAGATACCCCTGCTATGCGCTGCAGTGGTGTTTAATAACAGAAAATGGTGTCATCAATTGAATTTCATGACATGACATAAAGGAAAGGCTTTCAGCATGCAACAGGTGGATGTGCTTCAAGGGATTTATCTATATCCTGCCAGGGAGCTTAACCATTTTCTGTATAACAAACAGTAAACCCATCATCCAGTTTTGTGTTTTTGTATTTTTATCACTGACTATGAGCACCCGTGAAACACCCCCCCCCCCATATTATCTGTGTACTCTGTAGAGGAGAGGAATGTCTGGTGGAGTCATAAAAATAGAAAAGTATTGGAAGAAGATAAATCGGAAGCCTTTTGAGATTTATGTGGGTCTCTGCTATGCTAGTTATCTCTTTGTGTTACTCTTTCTCATTAAAGTCTATATTCCTAACATATATAAATGAAGATTTTGTTTTTTTTCTAAAAGCAGATAATGATTGGGATCCATATTGGTTACCTGAGAAGTTTTAAGCCATTCATGCAGCCACCTGTCTGTCTCATCACCTCAAGTAGATGCATTATACTTGTTAGGAGCTTTCTCAATGTTAATCATAAAGGAAATAATGACATATTCAGATTTTCCTTCAGCAATTACTGATGGATGTCAGCCTGAGACATCTGCCTTCTGACAAAACCTCCTCATTTACCAGCATTTCCTATTCTGCTTGACTCATTCTTCAAGTTTTAAAACTCCTACGCAGTATGCACGCCAATCAATGGTTTTCGCTTTGCAAAATTAAATAGTTTTATAACAACCATTTTCAAACTGAAACAACAGAATAAGAAAAACAAAAATCACACATCCTAGTTAAACATTATAAACTTATGGTAAACAACATAGAATCAAACATTTTAGTCTAGTGGTGTGTATGGCTCCAATAACACTGTCCGTTCAAATTTTTTGCTCATATGTGATTCAGATTGTATCAGATCTATAACAGAGTAAAAAAAAATAATGCATTGAGATACTTTAAGATCAGAATCAAGCCTCATTCACATGTGGAAATAAATCAGATTTGCTACAAAGTCCGAAGTTTGTAGCGGTTTGAAGACGTCCCCTGTGAAGTGTGTGTAATTATGTAGTAGCTTCAAATCATTTAGACATTAATTATTGAACATTAGCAAATTTCTCTTACAGCATAAAACTTATTTCACATGCATCCCCCTTTTTACTTTGCACTACTACAACCTGGAGACATTGTGAGGAATCGAGACCCTCTGAGCTGCTGCTTGATGACCAAAATTGGTTTCTCAAGGGCTTACAAGTGTTTGCAAAGAGTTCATGACTTCAACTGGGACTTTTGGGGGATTGTCACAGAACAAATGACATAAATCACAGTATAAAAACCAGCACCCAACAATCCTCCTCAGGCTCTTGGACCCGTAGAGGCATTTGGGATTCCAGAAATGAGGGACACTTGAAGGAAAACTAAAAAGTATTTTTTTTTATTGAGTGGAGCCTAGAAAACTCTATTTTTTAATTCATTGGTTCTCTTTCCTTTTTAAAATGATTTAAAAAGAAACAAATTAAAAGAAGTGTAAATGATTAAAAACACTTCACAAGGAACAAACTTATTGCAAGGTAATTGCAATACCTAAAATATAAGGAAGACTTGACTTATTTTACCTAACATGTGAATAAGAAAGTCAAAGATGTTAAGAGTTAAATTGAGCTAACAACATAAAACAATAGGCCAAGAGAATCCTTGTAACACATATACAGATGCTGGTCATATAATTATAATATCATCATAAAAGTTCATTTATTTCAG